TATATATATATATATATATATATATATATATATATTGCTATATCACATTTTAAACCATGTTTGTTTCGCTATAAATGATCCACACCAGCACTACGTTAGCTTTTCACAGAAATTTTCATATTTCTTTTGTGACTGAATGTCATTTGAAAACAGCCTCCTTCTATATAATATTGAAGAGAAATTGCTAACATGTAAATCGAGATGTTCTTTCTACTTTGAAAGTTGTATTGAGAAATTTAAAATATGTATTAAGTACTAAATCCTTGCCTTTTTAAATCAGTTCTTCTGCCCGAGTTGTTTTAATTTACTTCTACTAATTGCGAGTTACATATATAAAGTCAAGCAATTCGATATGCGATAAGCAATTATGAAAATTCAGTCATGATAAAAAATTGTTTCTTTATTGCACAATTAGTTCCAGGACGAGTTATACGCTTTATTTCATGACTAGCTTTAAACTCTTACATTCTAATTTATTCCAATAAACTTCGGAAAGTTTTTTTTTTTCTATCAAATCTTTAAAAACGATCTTTAGCAAAAAAATAGTGATTTAACTGCAAGAGCTTTCCAATGAAGTGGATCAGTATTATGAATTTATAAGACTATATACAAACCTGAGAGTACTAAACCTGATTTTCGCAAATTTGAATCTTCTATGAATCTTTAACAAATATTACACATCAGACGTGATGACTGTGTCACTCGCTTTCCACTAATGCATTTCATTTCTCAACAAATTAGTGATTATCACTGATTTGTTTAGAAGAAAAGAAACCGGAGGAATTTCGTAAAACCATTATGCAGCCAGAGAGAAATATATTCATTAACAATCTCTACAATGACAGAATTGGTTTATAAATGCAAAGAGTAGAAAATTCTCACATCACGTGTATCGAAAATAATAATTTAAAATTTTGTTGGATGTTAGAGAAAAACTATAAAGAGTCAGTAACACAGTTCAGAAAATAATTTTATCTAAATAAATAACATATCTAACTCACTCACAAGAGCCTACTGCTTCAAAGAAGTGGAGATAAAATACGAATAAACGGTATTGATCGGAAAACAAATAAGATAATAATAGAGTAAGTTATAACTTAGGAAGTACAAGGGTTATCACTAGATGTAAAAATATTAGTTGCACTTTGTTTGCACATAAGATGCGATGTAGTGATACCTCAAGAGTTAGCTGCTCTCTTCAAATTTTAGTAAGTGATCAGATCACTTAAATGTACAGTAAAATCGATATAGCTTCAAATTATAGAGGGGAATGAAAAATGAAAAATACTTAGAAAATGAAAATATGTATTGAAAGAGATGGGTACGAAGCCTTGCTGGAGTTCCTGAAAATTTTTTAATAGGTTTAATTAGATAACGCATAAAATCAAAAGCAATTTCTTGCATTTAATCATCAATCGTCCGCATGCAATCAGAAGACTATCAGACCAGATATCAGGAAAACTCCGATTTTTCAAGTCAGTAGTTTCTTCTGACGTAAAGAATATTATAAATTAAACTAATTAATGATGTGATGTGCTTAACATTCTCAAGCTTACATAGCTTGCCTGTTCCACAATTTCTCGATCATATCGGCTGCTCAGCATGTAAAAATCTGCTCTATGTTAAGCTGGTTGATATAAAATGTATTCAATCAGCGACAAACCACTGATAATTAATCAAAGAAAATGATTTAAAAAGAATATGAAATTGCTTTTGCAAATCAATGTTGCTCAAACGAAAAATCGAAAAATGCATGACACTTTATATACTATTCGAATTTCAGCCAGAATGAGAAATCAATTGAACCTCTTCCTTTGTTAAACAACTTTAAACAAATTGGTTGAAGTCTACAGGTTGAACATATTCACCTAAATTACATACTATCCATTTTCGTAAGTAAAGCATGACGAATGATACAAGGAATGCAAATGCTGCAGCCACCTGCACTTTGATCAAAGTTGATGCAGAAACTGAAACAGTGGTGAAAATATGGCAGGAAAAAAATCTATTCAGAATTATTCAATAGAAACAGTGCATATTCCTTAATTTCAGCCTTGGAGGACAGAAGTCAGAAAAAAAATAAAACTTATAATGCGACTGTAACCCACAATTCGTCTCGCATTTTTTTGACTTCATTACCAGCAGATGGTAGTAATACAACATTTGAATGGATCACACGTGACCAAACATTCAAGTTTGGTGATTGTTGGTAATACCAGTTGTTAACTTGATCTTCCTTCGTACTTTAACGAATTTCAATACGGTTTGCCATACTGATTTCAAAAAAGTAACATTAAATCAACCACTTGTTTTAATTACATGTTCATACAATGAAGGATAAAGCAGAAACATAGATATAGTTCTCCGAAATTCGAAAACTCGTAAATTATAAATGCTGATTCTATTAGATGACACGCTTGAAGTTAGATCTTGCATCGCACGACCAATGATGGGAAATCGAGAAGGAACAGAATGCAAGCCGTAAATTACCAAAAATGATGCTGTGATCCACAAAGGAGTACCTAGCGAAAGATTGTAGTGATAACATCATTTTAAGAATAAATTAGGGTAGTAATTGTTGATTATTGTCTGTCCGTATGTTTTCATGTAAATAGGAGTGAGGTAATTATTATGTAGTCAATATCCGGCTGATTTCAATTTGCAATAGCAACGCTGCGCTGCTTTTTTTTAAATACATATTACTAGTACTATCAGCATATTGAGTGCAAATGGTGGCCAGCAGCCATTCCCTCCTGCATTCCGTGTCGCTGATTCGCAGAATATCAGGGACTGTTCGCTTGCTATTTTGTGACTGGCATTAGTTCTTTGCGTCCCGAGTTCACTTGTATGTAAATCTGTGACTCATTTAACGAAATGCATAGTATGGAGATGTAATCATGGCTCTTCTTTAAGGTAACTTAACCTCTCCAATCTCAAACTTTGTAGATTGCGTTTTTTTGTCACTGCATCACCCAGAATTTATGAGAAAGAAGAAATTATGAGATTGAGAAAAAAATCTATTCAGAATTATTCAATAGAAACAGTGCATATTCCTGATATTCTGCGAATCAGCGACACGGAATGCAGGAGAATTTCTATATGCTTGCTTTATGAGAAATTTCTAGTTATTAGATAGGCCGCCAACATTACATATAATGTTGGCGGCCTATCTAATAACTAGAAATTTGTATACTTTTCGAAATGTAAGTTTCTAGTCGCTGTTGAAAATGCTTTACTTGCGTAAAAAAAGATTCCGTATCGTCACTGCTGCGCTCATTTCACAAGCAAATAAGCAAGCAGACGCTTTGGGTACCTCTGAATCACAACACCCACAGCCTACAAACCCCTTTGTTCTTTTCGCTCTTCTTATCAATAACAGCATTCGCAATCATACATCTGAATGTTGCCTCAACGGCCTCTCGGATTTGTTCCTTGCATGTGTTGTATCTATTGTGTGGCACTCTGTTCAAACGTAATGATATTTCTCTTCAAAACCAGTCATACTTGTACGTCGTTCATCAGATAGGCCGCGTACATTATAGATAGGTACATACACGCAGAGACAGGTACTATATACACTGTACTGTAGTACAGCAGTAAATGTAAGTGGAGATTCACTTCCGTTAATCTGCCTATTTCTATACTTAGGTATTATTTACTAGTCAATTAGTTATATATTATTGCAGTACCAGGCATCAATCTGGAGAGAATTTGGTTGTAATAATATTTATATGAGTGAAAGTGCCCAATTCCTGAATATAGTGTTTAGTGACTAACGGTAAGAATAATAGAATACGCTCCACACTGAAGCGTTGCTGGTTATCGAATGGAATGTATTGCTACTCCTGCCTCCTAGCAGGTCAGTGGTTTGTTTATAAATTGATCATAGAAAAATGCAGCTTTCGCTTTTAATCGTTTTGAATAGATGCTCAGAAACCGCGTGTTGAGATGGAAGGAACTCGATGTGCTCTTGCCTCCCTACACATTTGTTGAGCAACACCAACCTACATCTAGTGCAGTACTTCCCCCATTTATACATTAATCATTCTGTCTTGGACTCTCTCCCTCCTCCACCTCCACCCCCACCTCTACTTAATCACGCTATTTCTTCCTCTTTCTCTTTTTTGAGTTACTATATGGTTGTCCTCTTCACTCTGCTAACTTTATTCTGTTTTGTAAGTTATATTTCTTGATGGGTGTTTTGATATACCTTGTACTGTGTGAGTCACCTTCCTGTCAACTATGTGTAGCAGTGGTTGATGGATTCAGGAATTATACAGTAGTATTTGCTTTATCCCTTTTTGTCTTGATATCCTGAAATTTAGATGATGTTTACTGAAGCCAAATGAGTGCAAAGCGTCAATGCTCCAAGTAATTTGAGAGAATAATTATTCCAGAAGAATAAGGCATATCCAACTGTATATTCTGTCTTTGAAGAATTGCATTATATTTCAATGCAGTTCGAAATGAGCTATGTCGAACATGATAATGAGGAGTGTTACCAAGTACATCTCATGGTCATGTTACATTGCACCATGACTAGAGGTGTACTCGGCAGTGCTCTCGCATTTCCTGCCATAGTATTTATTTCTTTGATCCCAATGACCCAACCACCTTTACAGCGCTCATCTCAGTTTATGCAATCATGCGAACAAAATCCTTTCACCACTCTTTCTGGTATCAAACTACTGACTTTAAAAACTTTTAGCTTCTTACCTGAAACCATAGTGCTATTGATTAAGCAGGGCAATGCTATAAAAATATGATATTGTTATAATTATAAATATATTATACCCTTATTGACAAGTGAACCGTAGGTATATAGTTTTAGCAGTTATAGCTGCTGCCTTTATTGTAGCAACAAAACTGGAAAGACATTAATGATCCTTTAATAAGCTCGTGAGTTCCGCTTTTAGTTTTTCCATTTCAGTGAGATGGCACATTCACACTTGTAGCATTCAGAGTAAACAGAATTAGGCAGTCATCCTGCAATATGAGGCTGCGGATACCATAAATCCAGCAGTTCACAAAACTTGAATGTAATGATGAGAGGCAAAAAATATAGCAACCATGTAAGATGAAGTTAAGAAAATCATGCATCTTGAGAAATATCGTCAGGTCTCAGAATACACTCATTTCTTTATTGAGTGAAATTGTTACGAATATGATGAGAGCTGTTGCACTGGTAGCCAGCAAAAATGAATGATTCCTCAGTTCTGGAAAATTGAGATTTAATTCATCAAGCATCTTGTGTAATTGATTTCTCTTACATCGTTATGGATTTATCTGAAGAATTTATATTTATATCGTATTAACTTTAACTTTGATGCTTCTTCGTGCTCATCAAATAAAAATGGCACGATGTTACATATCAGTTTATTCTAGTCTTATTGAGGATAATTAGTTTTTCTGAAGAATATGATTTGGCAATTCGTTTAATTATCTTGGTTACAGTCACTTTAGAAGAGTGGTTCTATGTTGATAAACTTTATCATACAAGATGTTTACATAGTAATGAATTGTTTGTCGATGAGTGTATACACAGAGTGCAGTCAGTAGTTGGATAGTAAATGACTGCATCTGCTTAACACATATAAGCTGCTCTCTGTCATGGGAAAAAAATGATACAGATTTAGGAGTCTAAATTACTGCTGACCACTTGAAAATAATTCATCCCGAGAATTTAACTACTGTTATAGAAATATGATGGGTTTATATCACAGCAACCATTCAAGACACTTGTGGTATCCAGAGTAAACAGAATTGTACTGCCATCCTTCAATATGAGGCTGCTGATACCACAGTTCCAGCAGTTCACAAACACTTGAATGTAATGATGAGAGACAAAAAACACTTGACCATGTAAGAGAAATTTAAGAAAATCATGTAACTTGAAAAATACCACCAGGTCCCACTTATTTCTTTATTGAGTGGAAATGAGGACCCATATGTAAGCATGTCTAAAATATTTGGCGAAGCATGTTCTTCAAATAATTCCACCTAGTATCATCTCAACTCCATTTTATATTTTTATAGCTAATGTTATCTCAAAATCTGCTGTGCGTGTATATATTCATGAGGGTTACTAAAGAGTTTATCTTCATAAAAACAATACTTAAAACAAAAAACGAAATAAAACATTAGCTGAAAATACACTAAACAACAAAACGAACATCTTTAATATCTAAAACCATATTGATAAAACCATGTCACTGCAAATACTAAGGTGAGAAACAAATATAATGCCTATAAAGTACTGTCACGAAGCATTGTTTCCCTGGTTTTTACATTCTAGAAAGACGCCCAAAACTGGCACAAGCACACCCGATTTATCTAACTCGTTACGAGTAAAAATTCAAAAAACACTAATTAAAAGAACCATAAAGACTGTAACGTCTCGAATATTCTATACATATCATAATCAATGGGACTCAGGAACGAAATGACAAACAGTTCGTGGCATAGTTAATGAGAATAAACCGACTGTCAGGATAAAAAATCTCACCCTCTTCGCAACTGATTCCAATTCCACAACAAAACATGTCTATCATAAAATTACTGAGGAAAACCGACATATCAGTGAACAATAAACAGCAAGACGTACACCAGGTATCGAATAAAAGTGCCACAACAACGGAGAAAATAACATCAGTAGGTACGCAGATTACGAAACATCCTTTTGGACCATTAAATTCGAAAAATTTACCGCGCACAGTATCAGATCAAAGTACAGGATTCACCTAAACAGATAAATTATGACATCATCTGCACCAGTCATTCTCAACTTAGCAGTTACTAATTGGTTACTAGCTTAATATTACTACTTCAACTTGCAAAAAACGTCCTAATAAAACAGAACTTTAAAGTTTGTACGAAATCCTTTGAGCCACTTTATTAAGGTCAAATGGTTACAGGCATAAAGAATTAAAGCTAGTCTGAATCGTACACAATCATTAGTGGAGGCGTATCACCACCATTTCCTTTCGGATCCATGGCCGAATTCAAGTTAGAAGGGTTTGGTGATGGACTCATGGCACCTCGCTGAGTGACAGATTCAGGATTAGTTGAAAGTGTAATGATAGAAATAATTGAGGAGGATTCAATAACCTCGATCGGATCTTCAACATTAGCCACAGCCGTTGGAACATCTTTTGCAGTTTCCTCCTCCATCTTTTCGTCCTTCACTTTTTTAACGGCGATTTTTCTGAAAGTAATGAAATATTCCGCAACCTAATTTTAAGCTGAACATCTACCGTGGTGCAAAAGTTTATATCAGGAGGGGAACCAAAATCTAACCTTCGTCTGTTTGATGAAGTACTTAGAGTCCTTTTCTTGGCTTTTGTAATGATGTTTATTTCCCCAAGTGTAACATTCCCTTTCTGAAGCAATCCGTAAACCTGCGGAGACAACTTGCTTTCAAAATAGCCTCTGACAGGGAAACATGACATTATAGCACTTGCAACAGCTTTATGGTACTTGTGGTCCTGACGCAACGGATTAAATCTGAACATCCATAGCATTACTACAGAACAGTTGATGAGGACTATACCCATGCAACTTTTTTCCAACAAAAAATTTTACAAAAATTTGATTCTGGCCCAAACCTTTCATTACAACTGTGCAGACATTCATAAGACAGAGTAAATTAATCACAAACCTCGTGTCATATGTCTCAGTGAATTTTTCGATTCGCGAGAAGTCAGTGAATGGAGTATAAGTATTATCGCCGAACCAAAGGATGGATGCTCCACTTTTTTTATTCTCTTTAACGAATTCGTAAATCCGGCCAGGCCAATATGGAAACATCCCATTTCTTGCCCACACAACATCACCAATTCGAAAATTATTTAGCGTCAACAGTCCCGAAGATTTCCCAGTGCAACTAGTACTGGACAATTTATCATCGTTCCCCGGCCTTCTCGCTGACGACCGCATTTTTCCTCCCATACTAGTCTTCTTTTTGCTCTTTCTGGACTCAACCTCATCATGAACAAATCGCTGAAAAATGGAAATCCCAAATCTAAAAATATCGCCGGGCTTTTATTAAATAAAAATAATTTAGATGGAACTAACTTCTAACTAATCAGAGGTTTTGGAATGATAGATCTATATAACACAGTACAAAATGAATGAAATAATCATTATATTGCAATAAGACTTACAGTGGATATACGCGCTGAAGAAGCTTTCATCATCGGTGGACAACCAGTCTCTGAACGTCTCTTAGGAGCTGGAGTATAGTCAGCCATGATTTTTTTGCTAACTGATTTACAGCGTGAATCTGCTATAGGTCGTACTGACGTCCTTCCAACAAAATTTGTACCGTTTGAACCACGCTGCTGTACTTCACAGTTAGTTTGCAGAGGTTCAACCATGGATTTCTTGATTGATTTCAATACTATTTTAATAGGAGGCCTATCAATATGTCCCTCATTATTCACACTTTCTTTACTTCCAACTTTATTTGAACTGCAGCGAGATTTCTCAAGTTTATCATGTTCAATTCTTTTAGCTTCAGATGAATGCACAACAGAAAGAGAGTTGATAGCAGACGGAACATTATCAACAATAGATGGCATAACAGAAATTTGTCCTCGGCAAGAATCCACTTTTGCCAGACGAGAACGATCTCTTAAACAAAATTCACTTAGATAGAAATGGTGCTAAAACAGAAGGTATGCAATAAAAACTACCGGATGACAGTCGACTACAATTTCTTAGCAGTTACCAATTACTGACTGCTTCAAGACACAATGAACGTTTAGTGCTAAATCCCATGGCATATATGAATACCATGTGTTGTTCTAGGTAATAATAGAGCCAAATGATAGAAAAACAGCACTATCGACTACGATAATGGACAGATAATATAGATTGCTAGCATACCCGACAGAAAGACACAAATTCGGATCATTGGATTGTCGAATGAATGTCATGTGCAACGAATCACTAACTGGTTTCCTGATGGAATACTCAGAAGAGAAAGCTTTTCTGATTTTATCGCTTTTGAAAAAACGACGAGCTGAGCTATCAACATTCTGTACGTCCTTTTTCCCATCTTCTCCATCTACTTTGCTTGAAGTGGAAACAGAAACAAATGTGCGGCCTGATACATTACTTCTTACTTGGTCGACAGCAGAACGACGATGTTTTGAAGCCGAAGCTGACAGCACACGCTTCTTAAATATTGCGTTCTAGAAAGATGGAAGAAAAAAAAAACAGCATATACGATAGCAAATAGGAGTCACAAAATCTGCAAACCACAAGCAAAGCTACTTGTGAACGAAAATTTAGACTTTTTGCAATATATTCATAGATGAGTCAAACTGAGTAAATTTTAAGCAAAAATTTCCTTAACCGACCTAATGCTGTTATCATTTTTTTCTCAAACAATCTTTATTTTCATGATCTCTGATCGACATTGTGTTTATCCAGATGCATTTTTATGATTCTGTCTTCAGAGACACACGTTTACAAAAATTTCTTAGTTATGGCTTTAAAGAAATGAAATATTGTTCAGTACCTAAAGCGAACTTAAACAAGTATTTAGAAGTAGCTTAATGGTTCACAAAACTGACTTACGGACCTCAAACCACTCTTTTAAATCCAGCTTAGAATCACTGAACTATAATAGCAAATCTGTCTATGGTATTTTGGAATGTGATGGGACTATCTTAATTAATGTTGGTTAGATTTCCAAATTATTTACAAAAACCAACAAAAATTTTGGTGGTAACAATTTACAGATTATGATATAACTTCACTAATAACAACTTTTCACAGAAAAATGATTGAATCATTCGAAAATAGTTCAGCTCTTTCTTGAAACCGAGTATATATATTTCTGATCAGTCCAATATAGGATTCACTCAGCAAATTGCAAGCTTCATTCTTCAAGAATTATATCAAACATCACTAAAACACTGACTGGCACAACCAACTCTGTCTATAATTTCTTAAAGTCTCTTTCAATTTGAGTGCAATAGCGAAGATGAATAAGGCAATGAATTTTTAATGTGACTATTTTATGTGAACTATTTATAATCTGGCAACTTACAAAACAGCTCCCAAATGCAGAGTGAATTTTGCATTTGCCAACTTTCTATTTCACGGATGCTAGTCTCTACTTTTTTATTCCCTACACTAATTTTCACAAATTGAGCCTAATATCGAGAAACTACATATTTTTGGTTAAATTTGGAACCAGATTTAAAAAATACGAAAATAATAGAAAAAAGATGGCTGATGAATCTACGGATCATACATTTTCTGCAACAGAACCAATTTTTTACAGTGAAAAGTGCTGAAGTGAAATAGATATTCCTTAAATTTTCATTTCATGCTGATGATGGATGATATGTGATGGTTGTGTTGCATAAAAAAAAGACATACCATGGATAACGACCTAGTAGACCACATCTCAGTGGAATCAGATTAAAATTTCTTTCCTATAATGAAAGAGCATCTAACAAGGAACAAATACCTTAGAAAGCTTATGTGAAGGTTCAACGCTGCAATCATTGTTTGGACCTGTAATTAAATTATTAATTGGAAGTGAACAACAAGTCAAACAATTTTTGATGATGTCTTGGGCGGCAACACACCCCAATAAGGCATTTTTTAAACAGTGGCAGAAATGTATGATCACATCTTCCTACCATTTTTCATAAAAACTTGACAATCAAGTTGATCAATGAAATACCACTTGAAGGCCCTGGAAGAGGGTCGTATTCCGGTTCAAATAAATCCACTCCCGCAGGAACCAGAACGCTACAAGCACCACGTGGAATATATGCTTTTCTTTTATTCCTCTGTCGAAACAATGCTGAAGTCATGGAAGTATCCGGAGAATAACCTCCGGCTGAGCCATTTAAATGTGCGTCCAAAAATTCACTTGTAAGCTCATCAACTATCTGCAACTGTAATCCATCAACTAGCTGTAACTAACAGCTCTTTCTAGGAAGGCTCATCACGTCACTCTCCATATAGCCTTCCACGCGACAAATCCACATTTTGTGAAATGAGGAAAAGACTGAAACATTGCCTGCGACTGCACAACGAATAATAGATATTTCGTCCCGCATACTGTGGCCTCCTTCTACAGAACTCAAACTTAGATTATTTAATCACCAGATGATAACGAAAACCTGATTTTTCCAATATACTGAGACATCACCATTAATGCGCCTTATACCATTGTTGTTAAAACGACATGAAGAATTTTATCGCTATATACGAGACGTTTTGGAGACAGAAAAGCGACACGTATCAAGCTGTTAATACAAGTTAGAAACTTGATCACAATAATCACGAAAACAAAAAGTAATTATATGGAAATCGGATCTACAAAATGCTTAATCAGAGAAACAAGAATGGAAAAAAATTGATCTACGCATGCACTTGGGAAATACTCATAGCACCATGACTTCACAAAATGGATGCACAAATTGAATAGCTGAGATGAATCGTTAGCAAAAGCCATAAAGCAAGCAGATGAAGCAATCACCATTAATGCGAAATAGGCAAAAAAATCCATATACTCAAAAATCGGTAAAAATGCATGTGGGACAATGATATCTATTTTTTCAAAAAGAAAAAAGTCTCTTTACAGGAAAATAGGTCAGAAAACTAGCTTTTATTTTGTGCTAAACAAGAGACTGCAATGCTTAATCGTGTAGAATATCCAGCCCAACTAAAAATTTGATGAATAAGAAAATAAATCTTGTCTTTGTAACCGAATACCTAAAATGAACTATATCTACTTTATCATCCATCTATTTTTGAACACTTCACTGTGCTGGTAAACAGAAGTTACGAATGTGAGTTGACATATAAAACGCTTACTGCATGCAAATGAATTCACATCCGAAAAATTTTAGCTAGTAGAAGTAAACTAGTTTCAAGTACTGAATAAAGAACAGTATCCAAAGCAGGTAGTTCTTTGTTCAGCGCCTGAAAATAGCATGCGAAACAGGCGAAGTATAATTACCTGACAAAGCACTATACCGCATCTATCAACAGAAAAAAGTTAGTTAACTAAAGATGATTAGCCAACAATGGTACCTGATGGAATATCCTCCAATGAAAAAAAGATGTTTAAAGAAGTCTGTGCGCTATTAAGAAAAGATTGTTCGCTATCAGAAATGTTTCACAATGCAGATTTTAAATAATATTGATTTTCACACTAACCCAGAAAAAAAACTAATCCCTAATTAAATTATGCAAATAGCAATTATGCAACTATTGTTTAGTTCTTAAATACAAACCTGTTTTTCCGAAGGTGGCAGCTGCGCTACTACACGTTTATTGTCTTTGGGAATCGAATGCAATTTTCGTTGATTGACATTAACAAAATGCTTGCGTGTTATCTTTAAACCGAAAAATTTATGTAGCAAGTGATTTACGAAATAAAAAAAAAATTCTTAGTAATCCTTCAAATATATGAAAAGCAAACTACTTAAGAAAGAAATCAGTAAACATAAACTTTGAAATGTAAAATATTGAGCATAACAAACTATGCGCAAAGCTCACAACTATCATACACATAAGTTTTAAAAAACTGACTATTTCATTGTCCGGAACTGCTTCCATACAACTAGCACAAACCATACGACCATTCTTGCGCATATAATTTCGAGTGCGCATATGCAAGCCAGAAGTTATAAGACGTTCACCAATCACGGATGTCCACTGATCAATAATAGGTGCATCCACATAAGCTCTGACTGTCTGTCGAAATCTTGACATATCCTGACTAATAATACCCGGCACTCCATTTGGACTGCAACCATTGAATATCCTTTAAATATTAAGGTAATACACTGATGTTAGAAAAAATCTAAAACGAGGTCAAGCTAACCTTATAAGTAAAGACCTACCCATTTTCCGCAAACAAGACACCTGTGAATCTAGTATTCGTATGCTGCCCTACGTATTCTACTATCATGACACCGGGAGATGAACGTAGAACTTCAGCCTGAATAACTTTTGGTTGGTCTGTAAGATTTGCCAACGAAACTTCAGCTGAAATTATGAACTTGAGACACGAGATTTAGTAGAAAGCAGATTTTTGGCGACAAAGGAGATTATGGTCTTCATAAATATATTTGATTTATATGTAAATATATAACTGAGTATCAGGTGAGTACAGCGAAAGTGCCAGAACACGATTCAGAGCGAGAACAAAGAAAACAAAGACTAACCTCCGAACATTGTAATATACATATACATACCGCCTTGCGATCCTAATGCGTAGCTGGGAATACATTGTTATAGTCCTAAAGTTTTGAAACTTATTTCTTAAAAACGAAAATAAAAACTCACAAACTTTTGGAGGTGCACTTGCTCCACGCCTCTGTCTCTGCAAGTGAGGATTAGCAGACATACTAATTTCATAATTTTTGCGATGCTGCATGATCTGCTGCCGCTGCTTTTCAGATGGAATTGGAAAACGGCCCATTATTCTACAAACTATTCATTAAAACCAAAGAAATATAATAGATTTAACACGTAGACTCATAAGCAAAACAAATATCGCCTAACTTTCGAGCTCTTTCAAAACGCAGTGGAAGGCACCAGATACGAGACTATTCAATGAAAATCGAAGGATCTGAAGATGAACACAAAAAATCATAAAACAACGAACACAAGTATAGATTATCGGCAGTTTAGTACCTCCTTCCGATGAAACCACATTATATTTAAGTAGATGATTTAAGAAAAAACTTTGCATTGAATAGCTGGGAAAAGTGTGTGCTAGCTACTCACAGAAATGTACAATTAAAAAAAAAGGAACAGATCGTTTAATGAACAACGTTTCTCCTATTCATAACTATCAAGATGCTCAAAGAAATGGACAAAATTCAGGAAAACTATATGAAGCAAGTCATGCATAACAAACAGGTTCCATTACATGACAAAACAATTACCAGTATGCTACTCATCTTGCACTTCAATTCAAAGACTACTAGACTTCAACAATACCATCATGGCTACAAAATGATAGAAAAAAGAAAGCGATAACAGCAAGCAGTTGGAATCGTCTAGCACGGTCATCTACAAAAATATTACCAGAAAATGACTTCTGGATATTTCTTAACAAACTGGAAGCAACACACGAATGATCTGTTTTTCGACAGATATCCTCTTCATTCTAGAACCTACCAGAGAAACAAACAGAGAAGTACGCGTAAATCCATGAATGTAGAAGTGGGTGAATAAGTACGAGTATATGTGCAAGAACATACGTGTATGGAAAATGTGCTGAATGTGTCTCGGATGAACCGTCGAGATGAAGATGCTGTGATCAAAGAAATGTCAACCCCAGATGAAGAATCGGCAAAAACGAGAGAATAACATAACTAGTTGTTACGTAAATGCATGCAAAGGACGACCCGGAAACATCTGTCGCTGACACCTGCTTCAGTATTTACAAGTCCACAGACTAGACAAACTGAAGAATGAGAACAATATGAGCAACAGTAACAGTAGCGAAACTAGTAGCAAAACAAGTAAGAACACCAGTATAGGTTAGAACTGAACTAAATTGCTAGAAGTATCGTCGACCGAACCTCTCCCTTCGCTTTCTTCTGTGCCTGTATTTCTCTTCCTCTCCTTTCCTCCTTTCACTGCTGACGCCTCCAATACTAAGTTATAAAATTCGCAAGCATTATTCCACACTTTCCAATTCTGTCATTCATGGTAAACTACAGATCACATACATCGTGCCGCTCTCCATAATCCAACCACCCTTACCCATTACCCACCCCTGTACTCTGCTCTAGAATAGCCCTTGCGACAGACATCATTCCAAAAAAACCAACCACTCCACATCTATCTGCCTTCCTCGACCATCACTGCCTGCTTCAGTGAGTTACAATGAAAAAATCATGTCTCACCACTTAACATACCACACCCTACTACCACTCCCTGTCATGCAATACCGTTCTCATCCACCAACGAATGCTAATTTGTAATTTGCCGTCGTTACCAGGCACAAGTGCACTAAATAATAATAAGTATCAGCACTTCCTTGATTACCTATTTACAGTGCAAGAATTTCAATGGCACCTGAATGGTCCATTTATCGCAACAGCATATTAAGTCACTGCTTCCACTATATTCTAAATTCCACTAAGTACATAGCGCTTACGACAGAACAAAAACATTCACAAAATCAAGCATCTCGAAAGAACGCTAAATTCCGATCCATTGATTTTAGTAACCAATATCGTGATATTCATTAAGTTTCCAGCTACAAATTTACGCAAACTAGCAATAGTTAGCACTGTAAACGGCATACCAAATTACAACATGCTATAACGAAAAGTCTGCTTTCCACTCTCATCGGGGCCATATTTCCATACCCTGCAAAAATTTAGTGAATAAAAAATGTGGAATACTAAACTTAATAATTGCTTTCATAATGTAGCGTATATAATTTTAGGAATGGACCATTCATAATCACAGGCTAATCTTCTCCAATCAATATTGAAAATACAAATACATTTATATGCATGGCTCATGTAATTACACGATAAATTATACTTAAGACATATCTGGCATAAAAATCTATGTATACTACAGTATACACAAATTTATCACATCAACTTTCAAAATAAGGACTCGAAACCATAGACGGAAAGCATAGAGCATACAATCCCACAGAAACTTTACACTGGATATCATTCATCAATCTATGATCCCTTACGTATTAAAAGCATACTGACTGTACAAAAACGAAAACATGTAGGAAAATGATAATAAAAATGCAGTTCTCTTTTAGAGCACATTATTTTAAATACGATCAATACGAAACTTTAAAAGGATAACACAAATAGATGCATGATTCTATACAACTAATGAACAATACTTAGGTCCTAATTTCCATTCAAACAATCTCATGTCTCAAATTCCAAAGCTGCCTCATTTGCATTACTATATAATTTCTATACAAAATTACTACATATTTTTTATGCAGGTCAAAAAGCAATTTTTAACAAGAACTGCATCAATTGAGTCAAATTCATATCGTCATAAATGATATTGCTCTAAGCATTTATAAAGTCGAATTTCCAATTATTTACTCATTGAAGTAATTATGTAACAATGTTTGAATCAAGATACCTATCTATAACTTCATTTCACACCAAAATTATGTAAAAACAAAGCCTTAATGAGTATTTTTAAGTAAGTGCATTTCAAGATAAAATACTGAGATAGAGTTTAGGTATTGCGATTTCATTACATTCAGCGATCTACTTCACCAAAAACAACATCCATTGAACCGATCACTGCGACAACATCAGAAATCATACTCATATATACTACATCATGTAATCCTGCCAAGTGAGCAAATCTATAAAATGTAAGAATTCAGAGAGTCATTATAGCTACCTGTGTTAAATAAAAAGATTCAATAAAATCGAGTGTTCGAAAATTTTCAACGGAACATCATAGCTGGCAGTACTCAAATATGCTACACTATATAAGTGAAAATAAAATAAATACCCTGGTCCTCTAATGAAGCATCGATATGGCCTCGACGATCCATCTGAAACCACGTAAGTACCATATTCACCGTTGGGAGCTTCTATAGGTACATAAGATCTACCAGGTGGTACTTGAAAACCCCCAGTGAAAAATTTAAAATGATGTATAAGCGACTCCATATTCTTCTGCAACTTTTGGGACAATAAAATTCCAGTTAATGAAAAGATGGAATAACAATTTCGTTTTTCGAACCTTCATTTCATTTCGCTTCGGTGGTGCGACCTTGTGATCATCCACTTTTACGTCTCCTTCAGGCATTCTGTTCAAACATTCGAGAATAATTCGTAGACTTTGACGCATCTCCTCAACTCGGCACAGGTACCTAAACAAAACTTACTTTTGACAAATAAAAACTTCATCAAAAACGAATAATGCCTGCACAGCAATTAACCCAGTCTGAAAGATGAGAACAAACTCTAAACTACTTGAAAATTTTCTTCTTGTTGATTGCCTACCGATCATAACAGTCGCCTTTTGTACCAATAGGAATATCGAACTCAATTTGATCGTAAACCTCATATGGATGTGCTTTTCTCACATCATATTTGATTCCAGATCCACGCAAAATAACACCTGAGAATCCCAAGTTCCGAGCAGTTTCTGCTGATATCAAACCGATATCAACTGTACGACTCTTTAATATGATTTATCTCATATAATAATATTATATTGACAACATAATCCGAAAGCTGGTTATCTTCAATACCAGGACTATTTGTACACAATATTATTAAGAAGTCAAAATAGTGAATAGAAATCTATGGAAGCCAACTTTCCAAAGTCGATTTTCCGTAAGCATATCTTCAACTGTATCAATACGCTGAGGAAACTGAAGAGCCCAATAGTATATATCGTCAAGCAAACCCAGAGGCAAATCCCAGGCCACTCCTCCAGGTCTTATATAATTAACATGCATTCTTGCCCCTGATACTCTTTCACTAAAATAAATTTTAAGCAGTTTATCGATTGTCAAAAGTTGTAGCATCATCTGTATGATGCTACAACTATATAAGACCTGACATCACAGAAATAAAGAGAACATCAACATACATCTGTAAATTAGCTTATGAAAAATGACAAATGGACAGTTAATATATTTTGCTCATAGTTATATACATAGCCTTGTATATGGAATCATACACACTAAACACCACATTCACTGAAATCATGATTACGCCAAAAAAGTATACATAACGTAAACTTACGCTGATATGAAATTAGAAATGATCATGTATCCAAAGCTTCACTTGAATTATTAGACTTTTCCTTAGGACTGAATCAAACACTAATGTAAAAACTATTTGGAAATACCAACTCAGCATGCAGTAAAACAGAGTAAGATGATTTTTGACTTGACATACTTTTTATTTATAATTTGCTATATTAATTTTACTAACAACAACCATATCCTACCATCTCTAGATGACATCTTAATATAATTTATTGGATTCGTGACAAAATGCTAAGATTTTTTTTCAGATACTTCAAAATTAAGCAAAGTTACGAAAACTAGACGATATATTTATTTATATTCTTAATGCAGGATCACATCAAAGAGAAGAGGCCATATATAAAGGCAAAAGCAAAAGATAAAGTTCGGCAAAAATTATAAGATGTCATAATTTTTTGTTAAATTTCGAAATCAACTATCAAAGAACATAATTTTCAAGTTACGCTCTTAAAACCCTGATTTTTATTTGGTCTTAAAAGAAACACATGTTAACTAATTAAGCGTGAATTATTTTCATCAAAAGAAATGAAAAGATGCTTACTTAAATTCAAACAACTTTTCACGTTCTTCAAACATCCAAAACAAAGGCGTCATAGCACCAACATCAAGAGCATGCGTCACAATACTGAATGCATGATTCGCGATTCGATTCAGTTCAGTATACAAAGCTGTGAATTGTAGGAATAATGAATTGAAATGTCCAGAAACCGTCAAACTGATGAAAAAAATAAGCTTACTTCGAATCCACTTAGCTCGAACTGGTATTTCAATCCCAAGCAATTTTTCGACAGCAAGTGCGAAGCCTTGTTCATTCGTAAGCATCGTCACATAATTCAACCGATCAAAATATGGCAGTGCCTGTGTATATGTTTTGTATTCAATAAGCTTTTCTGTAGCCCGATGCAATAGTCCAATATGAGGAGTTGCTTTTACGACAATCTAAAAGATAATGAAATAATAGTATTACTGATGAAACACTAATGAATTTCATAAAAATAAATGCAAACCTCACTATCTAACTCCAAAATCAATCGCAATACACCATGAGCAGCAGGATGCTGTGGACCAAAGTTCAGAAGATAATAGTGTAATGGTTTTTCATGCAGTTCAGGAATATCTGATATGCCAGGTTTTTCGAGATATTTTTCTAATATGGCACTTAGACCGATCTCTTCCTCATATTGTATCGTTTTTGGCGCCCAAACATGACCCAAAACACTTGCTTTCTGGAACAAATATCGAATGAATCATTTATACAATGGAACAGAATAATTGTAGTAGACAATATTGATCGATCTGAGCATATTTCAGAGAGATAACTATGAAAGCTTCACTTTAAATTCCCGCAAGAACTTTGCATCAGGATACCACAGTGTATGCGAATTTCTGATACTTTGGAATGCAGAAAAACGAAAACTAGAGCGAAGTACGAATGACATTAAAGGTAACCAGCGACTTGCAGCCATACCTAAATGTAAAAAATCAGTAAGTGTTTAAACTCAATCATAGTGCTGAACATATTTGTTCGTCACATAAAAAGAGAAGCCATAGTTACAAAAGCCTCTTTACTACGCAATACAGACGTTTAAATTTCAACTACGACTCGTTAGATAAAATGGTAACATAGATGCTGTTATATCTGCCAAGATTAGGCATACAGCTGAAACATTGGCTAGAAAGTGCTAAGTCAAGAAAGTAATACTATAGTGAGAACATATATCACCCTAGTCAAAAGTCCTAGTACCACCACTCACTTTTTGCGGGATATTCTGTGCTCACGAAAATGCAGTCGTTCGCACTTTGTTGCAACTACGAATGCAATAAACTGAGTCTCACCCCTTGATTTCCTATATTATGATCATGAAACTGTGTTTGTTAGGAAATTCCTGAATGATGCAAGGGAAGGACTTCGCCTTCGAAAAACACCATCTTAACTTCCATTTTTGCACAAAAATATTCACACGTGCATCAAAAAGCTTATTAATTTGTTTTTTCAATTTGCGACATATGATAGCAGGACTGAAGATAACATTTACTCTGATAACACAGCACGAGTAGGGCAAACAAATAATCCCTCCAATTAGCATTCAGTTTTTGACTTCTCAAAGAAAAGCTACGTTACTTTCTGCAGGACTTACTTGATATACTGGAGTTAATTTATAGTAAGCAAAAAAAAGAGGAAAGCGTGTTTCAATCACTTTGGAAAGAATTGGTGAGAAAAAAAGCACATGAAGTAAGCAACAAATATGTCCTTGAAAACCCTAGTTTTGCAACGTTCTTCGTTGACCACGAAAATCACTTACTGAAATTATACAGTAATACTGCAAGGTAGGTATATGAATAGTTTAACAAAGTGCTGAATATGATTTTAAAAGATAACATGACACAAGCCATCGCTGATGCTTCATGAAATACTTACTGATTGAATCGCCAAAGTTGGCATAAATTTGTGATGGTATTTAGTGTCACTGATTAAAACAAATAAACTCTAAGATCTGAAACCAAACATGACATACAAATATATAAGATAAGCACATATCTTAAAGGTCATGGTTATTTGGTGCATGATATTCACATGGTGAAAAAACCCCACCAGTACCAGCACAACACAGGTAGCTCATGTCTCACAATAATTTATTCTTCATGACTTAACTCACGCCTTCCCATTATGAAGCTAGCTGTTTATTTATTCTGTGGTTTTTGATCCCTCTTTGCACTGACTAGTATTACACTGAGTTTTGCATCCTCCCTCTCACAGTAGCCCCTTACTTTCATATGACAACTTACAGAATTCCAGTAAGTCGAAGAACAAGCCATTTGCAGTATAGGTAAGAACAAAACCTTCATACCATACATTATCAAATAATATACTGCACACGGCATTTTACTCTTTGAATTATTTTATTGCTCATTTTTAGTCTTTATAGACTCTCGTCGTCTCGTTGCAATGCATGCGCTACAGAGGTCAGTGGAAGGAGAACAGTGAACCTATGAACAATAAATACCTCTCATATGAAGATCAGTCAATCAGTTTGCGTATACATTTGTGACATAGACACACGTACACATGGTGTAAGTGTACCTATGTACGTGTATCTATGTATATTTGCTTGCATATAATCCATGGTTTTTTGTGGCTATGGTGTGAAATTGTTATAAATCTGTTACGGTGTTTCTTTCAGCTCTTGCTTATGGTAACTAGTGCAGATTTACGTTGTTTGGGTTCAGCAGAATTTGCTGTAGTCACTGTAATTGCAAATGTTGAAAGCAGCAATGTAAGTGCTTTGCCAGCAACGAACATGTTAGGAGAGTTTTCAAAGTTGTTGTCGTTGAATCATCCTCATCTATGTAGATATGTGGATTTTGTTCGTTCAACTACGCGTATGTTTGTTATTTAGCCAAGTAATTTCTGTTTTGCTCAGACTTGTCATTTCATAACCAAAGTTCATTTGGTTATGAAATTACAAAAAACTTGTGATATCATAACCAAAGTTCACTTGGTTATAAAATTACAAGTTTTTTTTCGTTTTGTTAAGATATTTATACTGTGCTTCTGAAACGCATAATTTTCACTTATAATTTTGGCGTTTCTGGTCTAAAATTAATCAATGTTTATTGCATTTTCATAGTTCTGCACTCCATTAAAATCTGTAGTATTCAGGCGTCAGCGCGCCAAATATGTATGGTGAAAATTTTAATGACTTTTATGTACATGAAATTCAGTTAATAATATCTCTGTAGAATAAATTGTCTCAAAAGGATTATAGAAATACTTTTTGGTGGGCTTAGTACAATATTTTATCTTCTAATCAGCATTTTCAGTGGAAAACGCTGGGTTTGTCGTTTCAGAGTATTACCCTCGTTCGGTTGTTGATGAATTAAAAGAATGTAAAAAGTAGGCATTCATTTTTTAAAGAGTCAGTTTAAAATGTACAGAACACAATACGTGAATTATTTCATATTGGATATATATGGATAATAAGACTCATATTGTTTAACCCTTATTATTTCGTGACAAATTTATGTTTGCATGCAATAGTGATAAAAGAACCAACTATGTGCTGTTCTTGTCCCTAACTTGATTTTTTATAGACAATTTTGTACATACTATTTCTAGGCAGGTTTGCTAGAAAGTAGCTAGACTTGGTTTAAGAATAGTGAATTTTGAGTTTTAATTTGCATAATAAATGAAGAGCATTGGGAAAAAATATAGAGGAATTTTTATTTTGGTGATTAAAAATATTAGTTTATTTGGGAACGTTTGTGCAAATGAATAATCACTATAACTTAAAATGATGGTGTGACGAAACTTTAATAAATTTTCCTATATTATTTTAGGCCTTGAAAATGTTGACCATAGTTTTGTGACGTCATGTGGCCAAGTTCTAACTACGTATATTCTTCGTATGAAAGCAACATTATTTCAGAATTTTAAGATTGTCACCATTGTTATAAAATTAAAGATTTTTTTAGGTTTAACTCTCTTCGAATCCTTTTTCTGTTACAACCAGTCTTATCAGCTTTTGCTTACTTACATTCTCGACATGTTGTTGTTGGCAACTTCAATTTAAACTCCATTCTTTTACCATCCGAGGTAGCACTTTTAAATTATATTTGTCTGGAATAATCTATAGCACTTTGTTGCAGAAAGCTGTGCGCATAGCCCATTATGGCCTACATGGTATTTTTGGCTGTGGAAAGAGTACAGGGCATCACATTTGTTCTCCATGGCATCTTCCGCCAGAATGTTTTTTGGAAACTGAAGTCAAGAATGGTGTCATTTCTCGAGCAGGAGATATCTGGTCATTAGGAATTGCTGTGCTTGAACTTTCAATTGTAAGTTGATTTTTTCAGTAGGGTTAAATTATTTGAGCATTTTCGTTGTACATTCATTTTGTTAATTGCATAAAGATAGCTTCATATTGTCGAAGGATGTCTGAAAAAATAATTGTCTCTTTTCAAAAAATATTAACTGCGCTGTCAAATTATAAATTTTGCAGTTTATTTGGAGTGAATCTTCGAACTCATTGAGCAGCTCATTAATTACATTTTTCAAATATTGATTTAAGAATTTCTGCAACGATGCTTCATTCATAATGTAGCTTACCTTGAAATAAGTCTTTTTAGGGTTGTGTTTTATCAGAAATATGGTCTGCAGATCAGTTTTATCTTGTGCTAAAATCTCTAATTAAAGAAAGTAAAATTTTTTCTTTTTTTTGCTTTATACTGAATGCATGTATCCAGACTCTGTATATTTACTCTATTAATAGTTTTTTGTTTCAGTTTTGCTCTTTGTTCACTTATTTCAGAAGTATAGCTGCTTAAGTTTCATAAATTACAAACTTAAGTTTTTTGAACTGCTTTTATAGCTGCTGCATTTAGTACTGTAAATTTTTTCATAAATTAGTGAACCATTGTGCAGCTTAAAAGTTGCTGTTCAAGTAAATAAAGATCGTAATTACTTTTAAGAAAAGCGTGGTTCGATTTTTCATTTGCTGTTAAAAGAAATTCAGCGCAAAAAACCTTTTCTTCACATCGTCACAGATAACATAATCATAATAATACTTGAAAATGCCTTATCTATTCTTCCATCGCATCGGCCAACATCAAAACAATTACTCTCTGTAAGTAAGTAAGCTCCATTTGGTTAACCAAATTAAATTATTAATTTTAATATAAAGGTATTTCACAGATAATACTAGATGATGATGGTTGCGAGTGGGACGTTTGTAAAGATCATTTCTTGTTTGATGACTGTACACAGAAAAGTAATGACATTACTCTGCATGAAAGCATTGAAAGCATGAAAGGTTTGTTGTTATCAGTTCTTTGATAATCTCAAAGATGAATCTATGGTACATAGTCTCTATATGTAATAGTTTCAGAAAAGATTGGGAAGCAGATAAATATGGTGCATAATTTGCCGATAAATGAAGCTTTTTTTTTATGGCAGCTGTGTGGAAGCAGCGTTGAAACTATTCTTATCAATCATAGTATCGTAAAAGCTAATTCATTCATACTTACTTTACCATAGTTCGTTTTTTTTTTGTTGAAAGATTGCCTAATAGATTAAGAATATTTGAATTATATATATAATCATTAAAAATTCACAGATTAAATTATTAGTGTTCTTATTTTGCTGAATTGGAATCTTCTACAACGCGAACATTCATAGAACCGTGTTTTTTCATGCCACTTCAAGCGATTAATGTAAATTTATAAATTCAGCACAGAATATCTGTATGTTAATAACTCATTCGAAGAATCGTATATTGATATGGCTAATAAATAAAAATATTTGAATTTTTTCAGTTTAGTTGATGGAGATTGTTGCTTGTATGGTAATTCTTCTTTGAGAAACTATGGAATCACATCTGACATGTTTATCCTTCCTTCAACTAATTTCCGTGATGTACGTTTCTCAAAAAGAATTTACACACATTCTACACTTAATGCAATAAAAGTAATTTTTCTCGTTTCGTCAACAGTATTATTTAGAGAATGAGTTCGCTTGAAAAAAAAGTATTCCTCACATCTTTTGAAAAAGAGGACCAAGAAAATGAAGTTCATGGTTTGTCTCTGATGATCAAAGAAAAGGATATTGAATACCAGGTAAATATTTTTTTCTACCGAATATGTGTCTCTAGTTTGTTTGAATATTTTAAGTGTTAGTCACATTAAAGATCATACTTTTCCGGCTCGACGAATGCTCATTCTCCGTCGTTTATTGTTGAGTTATCCATTCAAAAAGTCTCTGATATTTGGTGAATGTCATCATGACATACCCCCCTTATATAGGGCAAATGTATGGAGTGCGCTGCTGAGTATTAATGGAGATCTTGAAAAACGTTTCTTATCTGTTGATACATTTTCTCCTCACGCTTCTGATCGCCAATTACTGGTCGATATTCCTCGTTGCCATCAGGTTACTTATTTATGTTTACAATGCATGAAGGATTATTATCCTCTGAAGTGAATATGAGAGCTGCATTAAATGACACTAGAGTTTAAAAGTCGGGCGTGTATGGAGTGCGCTGCTGAGTATTAATGGAGATCTTGAAAAACGTTTCTTATCTGTTGATAAATTTTAAGACAGCAATTTTCGTCAAATTTGAAGAGAATATGTCCAGTTGTTTAATGAAGAAAGCTGTTTAGGAAATGTTTTGCAGTGCTTTACTTTTCGCATTAAATTGCTGTCTTAAAATCGCGCATTGAGAATTTCATGCATTTGTTCATAATTCTTTTTCTGATGAGAAACAGTAAATTTATAACTATCAGAATTCATTCATTTTAATTGATTTTTACGATTTCAAGTGCAGCAAATTATGAAATCACTGCAGTTTCTCTCAGAACTTGAATGCAGTAATTTTATAACTTACCATATGCGAAATCTGTCGATTAAACTTTCCCAAATGATTTCTTACAGCTTTTCTTTGTTTCTTCAACGATTTCAGTATGATGACTTAATGGCTTCAACTGCTGCACATCGCAAGCTAAAACGCTTGTTGAAAGCTTGGCTTTTGCTGCACAAAAATTACGTGTATTGGCAAGGTTTAGACTCCTTAACTGCTCCATTTCTCGTACTCAATTTTTCTCGTCTAGGTACTTCTATTCATTTCCATGCAATGATTTCTGCTTCTAAATTCAATTATTGGCAAACAGTCTGCAATTTTTCTCTTAAAATAATGTATAATAACCCATATAACTTTTACCATATATATGCAAGTAAAAATGAAAATTTGAAGGATTTCAGCTGTCGCTTATTCCTGTCTCGAATCGTTCATTACTTTATATCTTCATGATTTCTTTTTGAGAGACAATTCATTTGTTATCCAAGGTAACGCTGTGGTACCTTTCTCATTTATGTGAGTAATAGAGATCGATGCACTCTGATATCACTTTTTAGAATATTTGGCGGTTTTTTATCACCTTTTGGCATTTATGGATGCGCCATTGTATGTGCACCTGTCCAGAATGGATTTTCGTCCTGAGTTGTTTGCTATCCCATGGTTTCTTACTTGTTTTGCTCACATATTGCCTCTTCATAAACTGTTTCATGTAAGATTTTCTCGATAATATTTGCACATATTCTAGTTCGATTCAGTTTTGTAATAATGCTTTGCACTTCGATTTTTTGATCATTTCGTTTACATATCGATGCATCATGAAATATGCATATTTTTTTTTGAAATCGTTACGTTTTCAAACAGTAAACTATGCCAAACAATAAGAATATTGATCTCAATAGTTTTTTAAATGGTATTTATATACCCAAAAATCAATTCCATTTTATCTTCTGCAGGTTTGGGATGCTTTATTGTTGTCCGATTCGTCTTTTCCACTATTCGTTGGAATATCCATCATGGAACAGTTGCGAACTAGACTCATTACTTCCCATTTTAATGACGCAATTTTGCTTTTTTCTGATCTTCCAGGTTAAATTTTAATTTTAAATTGTCAAACCGATACTTTACGTCACGGTTAATGATCTCAGCCATTATCAGATATAAATATGGAACGTTTGGTGCAAAACTCATTGAATTACTACCATGATGTGCCATCATCATGCACCTTCAGACAGCATGCATCGAAACATGTTCGAGAAGAATACATTATGAAACATTATAGCTTAACTGAATTGTCTACATTTTGTTGCCCTCGGATATCAGCCGTTGATGTAAGACGTCTTACTCAACATTCATCATTGTTAGTTATTGATGTTCGTCCGCAGTATGAGTAAGTTTTTAGTTTTATTTGGTTCAGTACGTTTTTCATTCACTATATAATTTTTAATGTTGGGGAACTTTTAGGTATTCTCGAGGTGCTATTGTAGGGAGTGTGAATTTACCTGCGTATAGTGAAGATGATACACTGGATATTATTAAGACAGCATTATTGAACGCGCAGTCTGTTGGTCATGTTATTGTGATTGTTGATAATGAGCATTTGCAGAGAGCAAAGAAGGTCAAATTATTATTACTGAATATCTTGTGAACCTTTGTAATTAGTTGAAACGAGACATAAACTAATAGAATTAAATTGCGGTCGGTTTGTTAACATCGTGCAGATTATTCATAAATTATAGTGTTCTCGATTATTTATTTACTCACTTGTCCTTTTTTAACTGACATTCTACTGAACATTATTATGGTACAATATTGTTGTATCGCAATAATAATGTGCAGTTGAATGTCAGTTCAAAAAAACAGGTAGTGTTCATTTATAATGTGTGTATTTAGATATCGAGTTTGTGCGTGCTTGAAGGTTACAATCGCGTGTGTATTTTGGATGGTGGCGTTCAAAAGGTACGCTCTATGCATGATATTTTTCATATTCCTAACTGATGAGCAAAAATGAAGTTCGAGAACGATGTGACATTGAGAGCTGTCAAACATGATCGTCGTTACATGATCATTTAAAGAGACTTGGTTCAACAGCATTCCAAGTAGAGGTTAGGGTTTATGAGGCACACATTTCAACTTACGGTTTTTGATAAGTTTTGGCTTAAAAGGTGACGATCTTTTGTGAATTTATCTTATTGCTTTTATCATGGCTGATTAATACTATATTAAAGTACTTGCGCTTACCAGTAATAGTACGAAAAGTAACATTTCAAAAACAATAGGATGTGTTGACAATGACTCAATGCGGCCTCGACCTTGTAATGATATGCAGTGGGGTGTGATTTCCGCAGTTCTGTAAATGCATATTGGTTGTTTCTTTATTTTCAGTCCTTAAAGGACACGGCTACATTTTGTTTTTTATGTGGCTGTCTAGTTCTAGCTGATCATTAATTTTTTTCCAATAAATACTGAACTCTTTTTGTCATGTATTGCACGTTTACACTGAAAATACACAGGAACAGATATGAAATGACATAATAGTTGACTAAACACGTGAAAGTTAGATTTCAAACTATTTAAAGTAGTGAAGAATCTCATTTCTTGTCAGTCAAGTATTATGTGTTTGGAAATCATTTTTGATCTACGGAGTATAAGCTGGTCAGGCATCATAAAGCATTGTAATCAGGGGTGAAAACTGTGTAGACGACTGAATGGGACCGAGACAGCTGGGTCATCCAGAGCACTAAGAGTTGTAAATGTGACCAGCTCGTTTCCGGGTTGTTAAAAATATGGTAAGTTTTAGGACTATTTGCATTAGATATAAAAAGCATGCCGTAGAATGTTGTTAAAGTGCTCACAAAGTGTAATAAATGAGAGAATAAGTCCAATGGTCAATTTCAGAGAGTAGCTATCTCTCAATATAGGACACACAGATGGTGGAATGTTTCTATAGTTTAATGTAATATCTTTTCCCGTTCCGAACTTTTCATCTTCAAATTTTGCTGTTGTAATTAACATGTATTCTCGTATAGTTCTAGCGAATTGAACGCGTGCAACATGATTGTTTGATGAAATCTAAAGTTAAACTTATAATGCATTGTTTTAGCTTGAGTTTGGTACCTGTCGTTATGGAGAATATTCCGTACATCTCTCACTGTTGAAAACGAGAGAAATACTGGAATTGCCACTTTTTTCATTGGCCGGTACACTACACCACGATTATAAGATTCAAGTTATAGTGAATGAATCATTTAAAGCATTTTCCCCGACCACCCTTTTCCATTTAGCATGTAAAATGTTTGCTGCATTGAAGTTGAACTGTTTTAGATTAAACAAATGTTTTCCTACAACATGAAGTGATTTCTTGTTCTCTGATCAACTCATTTTAATTACCTCTTCCACATCTAATGTGTGTTGGTTACAATTGGCAGAATTCTTATTTTTGATGCTTCTCGTTTTCAGACAGTTTCTGCTTGCAATCATTCACCAAGGCATTTCGAAGTATCTACTAATTTAAATTGATTTTGCATTATTCTATCTTGCAATTTTTAGCACAGTCTCCTCATGGAGCAATTTAATACCAACAGCTAAAGTATTATCTCTGCCTTATCAAAAATGTTTGATTAAAAATTTGATCTCAATGCACAACATACTTTATGCCAAGAATTTATTATACGAAATGAATGAAAATTTCGATGGAATAACAGCGATATTAGCTAATTAAAGAAGTGGCATGACGTCTATGAAACAAAATCAGGCGGCACATCGAATTTATGAGACCAGTAGCTATCGTCCTGCTCCAGAAAACGTTGGTGTGTACTGGCACTGACTGTAATCTACAGGAGAGATCATATTGAAAGCTTTTGTCATCACATTGATGTAATCTGAAAAATGATAAAGTAACTATGCATCGTTTCCATCTCTTTGAATAATACCCGAAAAATTTATTTCATAGAAAGGACGAAATATCGTGTAAAAGTTTGATGTAAATTGAGCACGAAGATTGCAAAAGATTAATCTTAACTTCTCACTTTCGATGAGCAAATCTATATTTAATTGTCATTGTTTTTTTGAAGATGCAGATTATCAGACAATTCCACTCAGCATCTTCCACTAATATCTTGGTTAATATCGACAAATTCAATAATTAACGAACTGTTATCTTCTAGAAATTGTAAAACATTTCGCATATGCTCGCTACGAAATCGATCCGGATCTCGAGCAATCACAAAAACTGGAAATCGTACCCAATTCGATACAACTGCATAATCATATTGATTGTATTCATTTAGTGGCCCTTTTTTGATGACCCAAACTGTAATGCGATTTCATGTAACTACAATAGAAAGCTAACTACGAAAATTATTGCGTTATTTCAGCTATTACAGGTCATAAATTTATTAAGCGTATTAAGAAGTATTTGCTGATGATCTAAATCATCATGAAATCACTGAAATTGGTACTGTGAAGGCTTTTTTTCTTCTAGATAATAATGTCTAAGCTTCATTTTGACATGCCAATAATGAATAAAGTCAGGCAGAGCTTAGATAGTGATATGTTCAACTTTTTGCTATTTGAGCTTCTAAAAGTCGAGCATATTAAGTTCTGAAGAACTGTTAGAAAAAAGGAGCAAATTTGTGCACATATCAATCAACTGATAATTACATGGTTCAGAGTCTGGTGAATTGCTGTTATGCAGAACAAACTGTCCAGTATCACCAGATTTAAATCCATAGCCAAGCGAAAATCGTGGTGGGCCATTTGCATTTCCTTCACGATAGAACTTCAAAATTGTAAAAGTTGCACTGTACGTATTGTTTGTCAAAGCACCGACTGCAAACATATAATGAAAAAAGGAAATGTACACAGAAAGAATGTCAACCATATTTTTTCCAGAATGTCTAAAATAAGACTATAAATTTGAGGCAGTAATCGTGAAGATTATCCCGAATTATATCATATGTCGCCTTTTCAACAACAGGATATGATGCAATTGAAAAATAAGGCAGTAATTAGATGATATGAATGATTTTATATGAGTTAGTAACAAACGTACAATGGGACACAGTGCAAGCTTCTCGGATAACATGTGGACTATTGATTACCTGAAAAATGAATTACATCTCCAGTAAACTCATAAAATCTTGCGATTCCAGTACTGGAGAAATCGTTGAAAATCATTCTTTGATCACTAGCACTACCAATGCTTCACTTAATTGACTACTAGTAAAAGGCAGGCAGAACTGTACCTGGAACCATCGACCCATCATACGTGCAACATCAACATTTTCAGCAGCTGGATGTACTGCTCGGAAAACATCTTTGGCCAAATTTTTAGCAGAGTTTTTTGGCAAAAGTCGACTAATTGATGAACCCAAAAGAGTATTTGTTGGCGGAATCATTTGTGGAAATAACTGACCAATCTAGAAAAAAGGCAGGATGAGAACATTTCAACATAATGGTGCTGCAATGACATATGACGTCAAATAACTGCTCCAGCTATATGTGCAAGCACGAATTTTATTTATACGATTTTTATTAAATGCTAATTTGTCATAGAAACCCTACAGTACGGGTACGAATGAAGAAGCAGACCAAGTAGTTGAAATTGCTAAGACCAGGAATAGTGTTTACTCCTGGAATTGCTGGTACATCTTGTGGTCCTGGAAAAGCTGGTACTGGTATTGGGGCTAGACCAGGAATTTGTCCACTCGCAATACCTTGCAAATCAATTCGATTCTGATTTGCTTCTGATATCATTGAATTAATGTCATCATTTTGGAATGAAGTGGATGGAATAGAAGGTTTATACCTTCTATTATTGAAATCATATGATAACCCCAATTGATCAAGCACATTCCTAGCTATTTTGCTTACCTTGGCTAGCGCAATTTTGTCCTATAATAAATGGTAAACATGCAAAGCTATCAAGTTAATTTAATGGAACTGATAGCTGAAAATTGTCTTTGTATTAAACATGATATCCATGGACAAAATCAATGTTACGGTTATAAAAAATCTCTTGCATGAAAAATTTTTGCATTACCTAGTTTTTGTAGATAATAAAGAAATAAGCATTTCATTACTTAATATATAAAAAACCTCTTTAGTGAGAGTAATTTCCTTTTCAAGAGATAGTGAGGCTGGTTGAGTCTGTTTGGTAGCTTGAAGAAGTTTCGTTGCAGGAGATGACGAAAACGGACGAAGAATATTAGTTGCCAAAAGTTGCTGTTGAGTTTTACTAAGAAGTGGCTCTGACTGAATCATCCATGAAAAGCAGTTAATACATACGAAAGAAATAATCAAAAATTTCAGGAAAGGATTGGTGGAGGAAGCAACCATCTGGCTCAACAGTGATTGAAATATTTTGAATTAGGTCAATGGTTTGTGAAACCGTCTCTTTCTGGTTCATCCCTACACTGACACATACAATTACGCCCCCCGAAACAGGGTTATTTTTGGGTTCACGTCCCTTTTACAATTTTATACCAAACTCAACTTGATAAATTTATCAATCGACCGTCTATGTCACTTTTTTGATTCATGTTTTCAGAATATCATCTTTTCATCAAATCACAGCACTATTATATTTCATTTTCAAAGGATAATACTTTTCAGGTTCTAATAATTGTAATCGCATTTAAATTTTATTTCAAATCACTCATATGCTCTAAATTACTTAGAATCATTCGAATCACGTCACGAATCTTATTCAATTCAATAGACCATTTAAAATAATCATGTGCTATTTCTATCATAATCACTTGAATCACTTGCAGTCCCGTATTTTAAATCAAGACTTAAAAAAAGAGACAATACCATATTGTTAATTCACAATGAATTTCAAAAATTCTTTTATTTCAAAGAGAGACAAAAAATCGTTCATTGGTCATTACTAGCTGATTTAGTGAAATTTAGAGATTTTCTTAATAAACCATATTTGAACTATTACTTTTTGGTGATAAAAGATAAATAACGATTGCAGTGCGCAGCTTTTCCTTGGAAAAGTGCGGCAAATACGATATAGACAAAATTATTCAGCAGTGCGGGTAAAAGTAAATTTCAAAACCCACAAGACTTCCTAAACTTATCGTGCCGATTGAATATTTTGATGTGCACTGCTAGGTCTAGCTTTAATAATCTATTATGACAAACTACTGTTTCTACTAAAATATACTGGAAAATTTCTCTTTTGAGAAATTTGAAATGATCAATCTTATATTTTTAGCCCAATTTTCAATGAGTACTTTTCTCTTAATATCGTTTTTTCTACGCACTGCACTCTGCACATCCTCTTGAAGCACTGAACTTAGCAATTTGATGACCACGCAACTAGTTACTCATACAAAGAACGAATGATATATAGCTTGAAAATATTGTGTCCTCAACAGATATTTGCATAATTTATAGAATACTGCAGGGAGTACGCGTAATAAGACTTATAGTCATCATAGAACAAGTTTGGCAATTCAGAAGTGCATATAACTCTGTTGAAAGCACTTACTTCCCTTTAGCAAGTAATACAGGCGACGAATTTGTGCGAGTGAGAAACATAATCAAAGCTTGGAAGAATTTTATTAATTGTAATATTTTAAAAAAGAAAGCTTATAGCACTATAGAATGACACATTACGAAAATTTTTGGAAATGTATTGCAAAATTCCCATTGTACCATTCTGTACAGTGTTAATGCACATATTTTCGGCCTGGTAAGCATGAATGAAAACTTAGAGCTAAGAATTTATTTTAAATTATTACATTTTCAACATTAAATGGACACTATTTACGAGGAAAATGAGAACGAAAACTATGCAAATGTCGGCGTGAAATTACTGAATAGAAAATAAGTAAATCAAATGATAGAAAATCTCGAAAAAAAACAACAATAAACTCAACTAAAAAAACAGTTTCAGATGCATCCATTATTTGAGACTTATTCAATTTATCTCTTGGCAATGTCAGTAGAGTGCAGTCTGTTACATACGAATACTGCTAAATCAACAGACAGATGAGGAAATTTGTATATAGATGAAAATACAAGCGCCTAGTGTTTGAAAATGCTATAAACTTTTCTTCCGGAAGAAAAATCATAACGAAAAAAAGTATTTTCTAAAACCACTTAATGAAATGATTAACTTAAAACTTAACAAAGATTAAAATCTAAATCAAATTAAAATAGAATGAATGCTTTGATGATGCAGAGAGAATAATCTGAATGTTCTTCCTAAATATTTTATGATATCAAATTGTTACGCAATTAGATGACGTGATATCAATTCTTATCCGTGAACATTGAACAAACTTGGTGGGAATGTGCACACTGAATTATCTACTGGTGCTACAATGTTCAACAAGCGAGAAAATCCGTTGATCAAACCTTTGTGCTCCAAAATTTGATTTACCAATGCTTCATGCCGCTGAAAAAAACTTCCGAGCATAAAAAACTAATTGAAGAACTTTAGAAATTAAATTAAATATCCTGCACAAACTAAAGCCTTCATTTAAAATTCAACTAAAAAGATAATTGAAGTTTCTATTGCAAGAATCAAATTTTTATACACATGAAATTTTCATTTAATGGATAGAGCTTTTACCCTTTATCACCCCAATCTTCATCTAATGTTTATTTTGATTTAATGTGTACTGTTGCTTTTTATAATTCTTATTCATGTGATTTAGTTATGATAAACAGTAATCAAGAGTCGTCTGAGACAACTTTCTCTCTTTTCTTTGTAGGCAAGTCAATTAATAATATCATGTGATTTTTTCGTTTCTAAATTTTAGCAGCAGTCTAAAATTTGAGATAAAACTGACCTGTTTGTACATTACAGGATCACGTGCAAATACGTATAATGGGTAGTTGCAGTTTGTTGAAAGTATTGTAAAGCTATACTCTCCGGCTTCATTTACTGGACCAACATGAAGGATATGCACTGAAATATTTCTGTGAATTTTTATAGCAAAGACAACACATTATTACGAAGAATAATCAGAAATACAAAATTAAAAAATATGAATTAGCGTTGCAGTCAGAAAATGAACAAAAATGTTGCTGGAAATATATTTAATTACCATTCACATCATCCTGATAACTGGTTGTGCGATAAATTAATTCTCCTGCATGTTTAACAATTGCATAACCGGAGCTGATGCGAGGCTTAACATAAGGTGTGCCATCGGTTGTGTACTCGAATACTTCAAAAATCGTTCCAACACCTCCATCATTTATATCTGCTAACTTTTTGTAAGCTACCATACTGCAAGGACCAGTTGCAAGTAATGGACTGTACATTACCTGAAAAGTTTCTTCTTAAAAGAAATTTAAGATGTTGAAGTATTAATTTTAGCAGATAGTACTTACCTGGTACCACTGACCCATAAATGCATCCACATCGAATTCTTCAACAGGTACTGGCTTTGGATTACAGAGTGGTGATGAAGGCTGAGTTATCAAGTTTTGAATCATTTCCAAATTTTCACCAATTGCAGCTCTTTGAGCCGGAGTAAATGTTAATGATGATAATTTGCTTCCAGAACTTTCATCACTCCCATTAATCTGCAATTCATAATTAATAATAGGCACGAAAAATTATCAATTTCAAAATGAAATAGTTATCTATTCTGTTAATTTGGAAATATAAACTTTCGATTCCATGTAAAGATAGGAAGCTTATTACTCATACCAGTTTCCCATCTCACAACATTTTATTCCAAAATATTGAATTTGGCATCTTAATTATTAAAAGATACATCAGTTTTACAAAACTAACTAATCGTTGAAATTGAGTACCTGAATGGATTCACTAGTAAGTGCTTTGTAAAGAACGTCGGAAATTACATTTTTGGCCGGAATAGGACTATTTTCACTTCCAATTAAGTTACCAACTGCTTTTGTTAAACTACGTGTATCAGGTTGAAATTTTCCTTTTTTGCTGTTCAAACCGATTAAATTAATTATTGTACCAATTAATCCACCTGATGACGGAGCATCATCAGCGAGTGCACTGTGCTTAAGAATCTTAAATAAATAAATAATTCAAAGAATTCATCTCAAGTAAAATAAAGCTATACTAATTTCTAATAGTTATTGACTATCTTTAAAGTTTGTAATTCAAGCAGAAATCAAACATATTTTCACACAAACTTTGTCACTTTCATCTTCTTCATCACTGCTTCCTTTCATCAAAGATGGCGCACGACGAATTCCACTCCCATTTGGTCCAAAACCCCCATCAGGAACATCAGGTCGTGATTCAATTCTCGGTATTATTGGTACCTAACAGTAGTAATGAACTATAATGAACTAAGTGCAAACCCAAGGAATGGTTATTCTGCTGTTTTGAATATGACTTATTTTTTAATAATTTTAATAATCATGGAGCATGAAAATGAGTTAAAAGTGGGTGATTAAACTGATAACTGTTACCTGCTCTGCGCTTATTCGACGTAAATGAGGACGTATCATTTCAACGGGTGGTTTGGCTAAATCAGGATAAACATTGGGTATACCACGGATTGATGATGATGGTGATGAATGTAATATAGTATCACCAGAACCTTCAACTTCGTCATCCTTCCAGTTCTTTGATTTGGCTCTCTGTGATTACGCAAATTAGAGCAAGCAATTGAAAGAACAAAAAAAGCACATAAAGTCAGTCAATTATATAGCAGAGCTTAAAGCCTCGAGTTTTTATTTCCATCAAATAAAATATCAGTTCTAACATTGTATACAAAGTAGTTGAAAACAAGTAATGGTTCACAGAGTAAGAAATTAAAAATAATTTACATACAGGATTTTTGCGAACATTTGAAAACGATGCAACTGGATTTCCATCATTAGCAACGGAAAAACCTTGGTTGAAACCAGGTGGTAACTGTTCAGAAAATCCTGACGATGCACTCAGAAACTGCTCCAGCGAATGTTCAACTTCATTCAGTGCAGCATTACTGTCCTTATTATTGTTGTTATTGTTATTATTATTATTATTATTATTAAAATCGGAGTCGATGACACGTGCTGGACGTCCAATCTCGTAACTTTTTGGTGGAAAAAAGCCACCAGGTCTCGGGCCAATAACACTTTCTACAAGACCGCGAGCATGATCTTCAAGCTCGAAATATTTTCTATATTCAGGTGGTACTGTTGGTTTAGCTGCATGTCGGGGAGCTTGTGGAAGAGCGAACACATCAAGTTGGGCACCGGCAGCCAGTGACATTAGTTGAATTATAAAGATTAACAAACAGTGTGACATGGCCAATTTCGTTCCCATCTATTCCTCGCTTTATAAATGAGAACACATGAATAAATGAACAAATAAATTAGTTAATTAGTCTGTCTTCTTTACATTAACGAAAAAATTTTGTCGCTTATACCGTTAATCTAAAATAATGAAAACTGAATTAATTACCGATATAGGCATTTATGCCAGCAATGATAATATAGAACCATACAAATCATTCCAATAATTATTTATATGTTTATGCTTTAAAAGAATTTCAGTGCTATTATTACTTACTTTTCATATTATTACTATCACTAATTATTTATTTATTCAATTAAACATGATAATAATAATAATAATAATAATAATAATAATAATAATAATGATAATAAATATAGCTATTATTACTAAGCTTTATATGATAACAAGAACACAAATACAAGTTAAAATGAAGCGGACATTTGTGAATAATGCATGAAATTAATTTGCGAAAATAAGAAGTCGTTTAAATTTATATGCGTGACAAATGGAAACGTATATCACAAGCCGAATGATAATGATAAAGAATGCCGAGAAAATGATGATAATGGAGGTAATAAAGAAGCGAAAGTGTGCACCAGATATGGTGGAATAATTCGAAGAACTTTTATCAGTTGTTAGTAATTTTCAACAACATGAAGAGAGCGACTGAAAAAAAAATGATTTGCAATTTACGAATGACTGAATGGGAGGGGAGGAGAAGGATGATTTCGAACGTAAGCTGACTCAAATGAAATACGCGAGAAAGGATCGAGTAGATGACCCCCTCATTCGTTTCTTAACGCCACGTGTCCTCCTTACCTTCCCCTCCCATTTGATTTTATCCTTTTCTCCTTATTTGTTTTATTGCTAAATAATTGAGAGTGAGCGGTGTTCGTTCTTTTAGCAGTAAATAAATGCAATAATCAAAACAAGTGTAATATTTTTATGTCATGTCAGAACTAGCCCATCATCAGGCCATTGCCCTTTTTTCAAATAAACACATGGACCATACATGTATGTATACGAATAAATAATTAAGTAAGCAAAATTAAATTAATAAACTGATAAATATGAGAATGTATCTATTAAACAATAGTAGTTTGACAGTGCAATTAAAGACAAATCCCTAAAAATTACTACATTTCATGTAAAACAAATATGATTATCAACATAAATGAACAGAAAACAAGGATACGTGTACACTCACTCTCACAAAACGCATAGTCATGTATGATTTGCAGTTGTGGGTCAAGTGAATAATTAAGTAGGAAAGACTTGCAGATATGGCAGTAACGATTGTTGAAAAAAATAGTCCAAGTTGAGGTGAACTGAGAAAAGTAAAGTAGAGTAAAACCAGACATAACAAAAAGAAGTGCGGTAAAGTAGAGCCGAGTGGAGTCGGTGCAACGTGCAAAGGGTAATGTTCGATCGCTCAGTTTGCCTTTACTGTCTGTTGGTAGGAATGGATTGACACGCGCAGGAGTGTCTGCATTTGAAATAGGGTCAGTGCCCTTGCACTAGTTTTTGCAGTGCAAGTTGAGGATTCTGAAACATTTCAGCTATTGGACTGTGATCGCTTTCTGATCTTGCTCCAACACCGAATAATTTCGATTTTGTGGAATCTATCGATCCATCACTTTGCGCTGCTTCTTGATTTTTGAGCACCCTGAGAAAAAGCAATTTATTTGATGCAACGGAGTAAGTAAACTACACCACTTTCACTCCGTTTCAGGCCATTACCAAAAAATACAAACATTTTCAAATGAAAGGAGCATTGAAATGGTTAATTTTCCGCCAGAGTGAACGAATTCTTAAATTGTTGAAGATACTACAGAAATAATTGCTTGTTTAACGCAGTTAGTCTTTGAATCATATTACATATTACAAGCCTATTCACTCGAAATTAATTTGTCTCTGCAAGCAAAATAGTAGTTTGTTGATCTTTCACATCTATCACAGGTTACAAATTAGTAAACTTTTACCGTAACTGCAGTGGATGCGTTTTCAGTTTTTTCGCTTTATCGGATAAATATTTACGGAAACGAAATTAAAAGGGTAGTTGTTTCAGCAAAACTGCAAACTTTTATCCTAGAGACAACTTTTTGCGAGTAATTTTTTCGCATTTGCTGCAGAAATTAATGAATAAAAAAGTGTAGTACATTGTTTGATTCTGGTAATCCAGTCATATCCCCTATGATCAAAAGTAGTTAGAATATGAATGAACTGCCGAGAAAAAGCATTACATACCGTCTAGCAAATACTTCTTTCTCGGATGGCCAATCACAGTCAGCACCTTGATAGATAGGTTTCGGCGAATTCCAGAACACTTTGCCGCCAAAACCTGCTTTTTCCAGAAATTCCACAACTTCCTTATTGTATTTCTAAAGTAAAATTTCAGTTTAGAAATTTTTAGCATGTCCCTAAATTAAACTTTGCTCAAAAAAAATGCAGTAAATTTGAAAAATAGGATTACCCGATAAAAGATCATGGGATGTCGAGCGTAAACACTTAATGATAGCCTATTTGCATCTGTCACAACCATGTATTCATATAGTGAGTCTTTTTCCATTTTATCTGTTTTATTAGTGTAGTTTGGACCAACAAAGATTATATAAACTGTAATTTTTAAAATGATTAAAGGGCAATAATAATTATTAAAATATCTCGCTACAAAAATATTCAGTTACTCCAATAATTATTTGATATGATTCTTACTTCAAATATATCACTTACATTGTCTGGGGTAAAAGTATTCTTCAGTATACATCCAATATTGTCCAGCACCAACTTTATTCAAATCTCTTTTATACGTCTCGATTGGACCATTTTTTGTCACTACTCGATATGCTTCTTCAATTGAAAAACCATCTTCCCCCATTACCGAATTTGGTTTAACTGAAAATCTCAATGAAGAAAATAGAGTTATCATCAATAGAAAATTATTTCACTTTTAATGCTTATTAAATATCATTTTGGTACTCTAATTCCTAGCAAACACTCAGAAACTCATGAATTCGTCGACAGAAAGAAAATTTTTTAATATAATGTTATTTCCTGCTTCCAATTTTTGAAATAGACATTACATTGACCAGTAATTCTGTGCTCGTTGCAATACTTCAGCAACAAATAAGACAGTAACAAGGAAATCATTATTTTTTAAATGAATTCGCAGTATTTCATTATCGGCGTATGAAAACTTCATTAATATTTGTTTTCATAAAACAGTAAAGGAAATGTGTATAAAAACAGTGAATCGCAAGTGAAAACGGCAAAATTAATCTGAATAACTCACAGTATGCTACTGGACAAAACATTTCAGTTCGGTATACATCAAAATTTATCGCCGCTTTATACACCTACAAAAGTGACTGCTCTTATCTTTTATAATATTAAAGAAGCCAAATTCAAAGTCAGATACAAAAATTGCAAAAATTATTTCAAAATTCTGAAACTTCTCTATGTTCATTATTAGAAATGAAATTATACCACCTATTCAGAGCAGGTATATTCAAAAAGTAAAAGTTTCTGTAACTAAAAAAAATTTCAAGATTGTTTTGCATCATTTTAATTTTTACTGCCTTTTTTATAAGTTAAAAATATTCCTTGATAGAATAAGTTACGCTCTATGAACAGTGTTTATTAAAATGATAAAAAAACATATCAATTATATTATTTTGACTATAAACGAAAACTTAAAAACCTGGTACCAACGGCCCATAATTTGTGAGGATGGTACGTTAATTGTTTCAACATTATTTTGTATCATATTACTTATACCACCAATAATGCCCGCTAAAGCATTAATATCCATCTTAAAACCAAAAAAGAAATTAGGCATGTTCCGTGATTTCAAGTAACTGGATATGAAAATCATCAGTTTTTAAAGTTTGGTAAACTTGTAATTCAAAGAATATCTATATTTTATCCGGATCAGTTTTACAATTGTTCCCTTAAAATGATCAATATTTTGGACTAATAATTTGTGAAGTACTTGATCGCTAGATTATAACAACAAATTTTGAGAATAATAAGCTTCATGAAATTAAAGCTGACTGCCACAAATTAAGAATGGTTTCAAAAAACTAAAATTTAAGTAATCACTGAAATAAAAAATATTTTTTCATTAAAATATTTGAATTACAATTGTAAAAAAAGAATGAATTCATCAGAACTTGAATTTCTACCAAATAAAATTTCTAAAATGATTTCAAACTAGCCTACCGGATTTTCTCCAATAGTATTTGCGCAGCTTATAAGAAAAGCTATTAGCAAGAATAGTGGTATTATCATCTTTCAAGGAACGAAATCAATTGAGGTTTTGAAGTACGATGAATTCAGCAATAATATGCGTTTGGAGCTGTTTAATGGGGCAAGGTTGTTGACCTATCATCGACATTTCATTCATTATTTCAAATTGAACCTTGAAAATTTCAAATTTAGGTTACAAGTGGTTTCTTATAACCCATCACTTTCGTACTGTTCATCCTTCGGAGAAAAAAGAGGTCTTCAGTGTTATCTACAGTCATTTCAACTGCTTATTCCATGTTTGCAATTTTTTTTGATTGTGCATATCATATTATATCATTTATTGTTGTACAACTTTCTAACTGAGTATCATAACAAAATCATTCAAGTTTTTTCAGGTTACCATTTTGCATCTTTCTTAGAGCCCATTGATTTTTCGCTTTCACTCGGATCGAAGGCTTCACTTCATGGATTTGTGAAGCAGTCATAATCAAATTTCAATTTCATTGCTTCATCAATGGATGAATCAAAATAAAAATTGCCTACTTGCACTGATAAATATATATATATATATATATATATATA